TCATTATTATCCTCTGAACCTTCCATAACACAAAACAGACTGCTAAGTATATGACATTTTTGAAACACAGACTATGGAATAACATAAAGAGAAAATGAGATTAAAAAAACCCAAAAACTAACAACAACAACAACAAAAAAACTGTATGAAGAATGAAGAGAAATAATTGAACACAAAATGGGTCATAGGGAAACTGGAAAATAAATAGCCAAACCTGCTTTAAAATTTTTACATATAATATATATGGCATTAGCAAGAATATTACATTTATAAATGGTTTTTTAACTTTATCCTTACACCCTTGGGGGTGTTGTGGCTAGAGGGATGGGGGAGGGTGTTGGACAAAAGTAAGTGGACAGTCATTGGGCCTTTTTCCTTACTCTAGCCACCCACCAGGCCCACCAGCTCCAACGGAATCTCTCTGATTAATATTGGAATTCCATGTATAGTTCTGTTCATTAAAAAAAAAGTTTCTGCTGCAAAGAAATAAAACTAGGCTTAAAATCAACAAAATAGAACATAGTAAAATGAGGAGAAAGTTTAGCCTCTGTTTAAGCTTCTACTGATGATGTATTCAATGGGGGAATTCCAACATGGGAAAAAATTGCTCTGAGCCTATGAGTGGCAGAGGCCTGTGTTATTCACATTTTTGTCTTACTACAATCCTTAGCTGATGGGAAGTGTTCAATATAGGCTGAATGAATGAAAGGTTTTCTTGTAGATTATTGTGTGGAAATTTTCCTGAAATTTTAACATAAAGTTAGAATATAAACTAACCCCAAAGTAGAATGATGAACTCTGCCCTAGTTAAAAGTGGAAGTGGACAGATACAATAGATAAAGGAGCCATTGTTGAGTACTCTAACCTTGTGTGATGTAGGTCTGTAACCCTGGATTGGTCAAGTCTTCCTTAGGGATAGAGAAAGATTTGAAAATATATCTTCACATGGAATTTCTTACTGTGATGGTTGATTTTATGTGTTGACTTNCTTCATGGGTCTGGTGGGCACCTGAAGTTAAATGGAGGTAATTTCATTTGTCAGTATGAGACATGACAACATTAGTTCTGCTCAGTTACTTGTTTCAAGAACTAGACATTAGCCTTGTATTTGGTAAATCTGCCTGCGATTGTTTGCAAAGCTGCCTCTCCAAATATAGCAGGCATATTAATCAAATGTGAGTAGATGCAATTTACTAATAGTACAGATTAAAATAAATGTAGACTATATCCAAATAACTCACCAGCAATATACCAAGGCTTGGCCAACCTTTCTTGCATCATTACCTTGCAAAATGTTGTTTGTAATTCAGCTAAACATTTAAATCAGTAACCATGGATCTTAAATAAATGTAACTGCAATTCAAAATCTGCGAAATACCATGTTACATGAGTAAGTAGAAAATTTGATTGATGACCGTCTACAACCTTTAACTGTTTTATTTTGCAAATTAGTAAACCAAAGCTCTGAGAGGCTACCTTGGTCAAAGTCAAAGAAATTGGTGGTAATCCCTAAAAATGCAGTCAAGTTTTCAATTTCTATTATAACATATAGCTGGTGATCTAGTCTATAAATACCTACTTTATCTGAATTCAGATAACAACTTTCAAACTTATTATAAGAACATAAATATTTTTAAAACATATAGATTGCTATTTTGTGTTTGAATATGATAATGTATACATAATACACATGAGTAGCCTTGGGGAAGAAAATCAGTATGCAATAGAATTCAGTACCTTTGCAGTAATTCTTGGCTGTTAAGATATCTAGTCCTTTCCCACATTTTCTCCTTAGGTCTTCAAAGAGAAGAAACCATCTTTCTGAAAACTACGGCAAAAATCCTCCAGTTTTTAGAACTGAGTTGTACCTTAGTCCTAGAACATCAAAGTCTTGTTTTTNTTTGGTCATGTACCTGAGGGCTTGCAACACAGTCAGGATCTTTGAAGTGTCCCTCTTGCTTACACTTCTTTTGACACACTAACTCTGCTTCTCTACCAATGGCTTAGCATCTGTCTATCTATTGCTATCTATCTATCTGTCTATCTATCTATCATCTATCTATCTATCTATCTATCTATCTATCTATCTATCTATCTATCTATCATCTATCTTCTATCAGATGATTAGTGGCTGGTTAAGCACTAGAGAAAAAGTCTTAATGATATGTGCATCATAAATATGGTTTAAAAACAATAATTATTTATGTAAATCAATGAAAAAGGACTTTTTTGTGTATTGTGATATGACTGATTTCCCCTATTATTTGTCATTGTACCAACGTATGTTAGAGGTGAAGTAACCATATGTGCCCGTTCACACCTTATTGCACTGTAATTATTAACACCTCCTCCATTCTGAAAATATCCTATCACTTATCCAAGTTACAGGATACCAGAATTAATATAACCTTTTTGATACAGATAGGGAAAACAACAAGCATGAGCTCACAGAATGTTACAGTTGGAAGGAAGTTCAGAGAATAATTTGAAACCGCTTGTTTCACAGATGGAAGCACGTATATGAAACTGTTAGTCTCAGAGTCACCAGAATACCATAAAGCTTTCTGACTATAATCCCCAAGTCCATTCTTTCCTCACCCCATATAATCCTCCACTGTAAAAACAAAGACACACAAAACAAACAAAGTATAATAACAAATAATAGGGTACTTTGTTTGATGAAGGTGCTTCATGAACATATGTTGAGTGGGTGGGGTTTAGCACCTTAGCCAAGTGACTTCTATAATTCACATTTGTGAACTTTCATGTACTGTTAACATTAAACCTGAGCAAAGGATAAATTATAATTTGGGATATTTACTTCTGAATCTTTCAGTTTGAATGACATGGCTACTAGGTATGCAGCGCATGGTAAATGATATTCTCTAAAATAATTAAAGTGCTTAGTGGTGTCTAGCATTACAAGACTCATAGATATGGCCTCTGTGGTCCAGTCTGCGTGTCACCACATTTATCTGAACAGAAATCTGACCTCGGTGTTATAATTAATTAGTTACACATCTTTACTAAGGCTTTGGTGTGAATGACCAAGTAGGTGAGCTGGAGAAATGAATTTTTAATCCACCNGCCTAAGAGAAACCTAGCAAAGTGTGGTCAGAAAAGGTTAGTGTTCTGTGGGGAGTGACTGGGATTAGTCCATAAACTATTGTTTAAAATTTACTATACTCCTCCAGTAGGGCAAAATTTATATACAAGGATACATAGATGAAACCTGGTGTTCACTGCTTGTTTGTTCTAAGAAATGGCATCGAAAAGGCCCACATTCTGAAAGAGCCTAATAACCAACATAAGGTATCTTTGCATTAAAAAAAAATATAGGGGAACTACAGAATAAAGGTGTAGCAAACCAAAGTAATGAAAAAGTTGTAAAACAAGCTTTTTCATATGTGGGGTAGAGTAAGAAAGTAACTATAAGCTTAAAAAAATGAAAGAATTTCGTTACATTAATACATTAAAATAGATGAAGAGAAGAGAATTGGGTGCACCAAAATCAGTATACTTTTCAATTGGGACCGTTAGGGCTGTTTATACTATATTTTAATTTGTTACTCAGTGAACAAAAACTTGGAAGTTTAAGACTCTTACTTTGTATGTCAATAAGTTCTCTAGAAGGCAGGGCCTGAGATCCTGCAACCCAGGTAAGCATGAGGGAGGTAAGAAGAGAAATACTGCAGGAAAAAATGGAAGCAGACATAGGCGGTATGCTACGGAGCTGGGCAGAATGTCACAAGAAAACATGGCTGGTTACCAGGTCATGTGGGACAACTCTAAGAACATCATATTGAATCTTTGCACCTTGGAACAGTTTGTTAGATGGAAGAAGAGATATTTATATGCCAGTTCCTTGTCATCGTCTATATTTTACTGGTAAAGATTCATCCTATGGGACATTAACTCCTTTGCACTTACATAACTTCCAGTTGTATAATCTGTCTCCTTTGGGTAGCCACTGGGGAAGCAATATCCCAGTGGAGACAGAACTTTCCTAGGTCTAGTCTGATAAGACACAGATACCAAAGCCATTCTGGATTTTTCCATGGTAGATGCCATCGGGGCATGCTAATACCTGATCTGCATCTTAAGGGAGGCTGATATAGCTGATGGTGTTAAGAGATAAGATGACAATGGTGANCATTATTAACAAGGATGCTGGGACAACAGGCATAATATGGGACTTTGATGGTAAATAGGGGTACTTAGTTAGCCTAAACATGCATACAAATTGATATAGCAGTGAGTTAAATAAAAAGTGAGATGAGAAGACTATTGCAAAATATATGTTATTAAGGAAATATGTCAAAAGGCAATAAATGTAACACCACATTGTTCATTTATTGTTCATTGTTCATACCACATATATTCAGGTATATGAAAAACCTATACATTTTTCATGAAAAAATGTTGCTTATAACTGAATATATCAAAATTCTCTATCATCTTCTATTAGATAAACCTTCTCATAGGGAAGGGGATGATTTTGTTGATAGACACCACTAAGTGAGAGAAAGAGCATCAATCCACCTTCGGGCTTTGGTTTTTCAAGATACATACACAAGGAACAAATCTTGTTTTCTTCTTTTTCTAATTCAAACAGCACAATTGCTAGCTATTAGCTATCCCTGATAGTACTTAAGGTAGCTATTATAATATTCATTTTTGCATATTCACCTGTAAGTCAATTCAGGTGCCACGTTTACAAAGTATTGCCCACAAACACAGCAACACAAATATAATAGTCCCTTTTGTAGTATTTAGTTATTATCAGCTTCAGTTGTTTCATCTTAATCTTTATATAATTATGAAAACTGTACATTCTTCCAATAGTCAAGACTTTCAAAGAAGTACATATAAACATACTTTGTCCATTAGAAAAAAGAATACTATCTACTACCTTTCAAATGAGGGCTGTGAACATGCATTCTCTGCAGATGTAAATTGATTGGAACAAATTCTAATGTTTTCTCTCCTTTGCTGCTGCTGGATTTGAAAGAGGACCCTAGATGGAAAAAAGAAAATAAACATTATCAGTGAATAAATAATGTGTGTGTCTGTGTGTGTGTGTGTATACGCGCACATGCGCACTTGTATGATGAAAAGTAAAGTTGATAGAAAAAAATGTTACAAAAATTTCAGAAAGAAANACACTTCTATCTTTTGCCTATAAGGGTAAACTAGAAAGTTGGATGTCAGCCTTCTCATTCTCCACATTAAATTCCAATGGGCAGGGAGAAAGGGCAGTTGTATGTTACTATAGCTCTTCTTTTTCAATTTACTGATGCCACTGATGGTTATCCCAGACCAGTGCTGTCCAAAGAGCATTCTGTAATGATGGAAATGTTCTCGAGCTGTGCTATTTAATATGATGGCTATTACCCATATGTGGCTATTGAGCACTTAAAATGTGACTAAAGTGATTGAGGAATGAAATTTTTAATTTCATTTAATTTGAACAAATTTTAACTTAAGTCTAAATAGCCACGTGGGGCAAGTAGCTGCTGTATTGGATAACACAGACCTAGATGGTTCCACTAAGAGTCAAACAGAGTTCCTTTTTCTTCTAAACCTGGTACTTTCCCACTGTTTCCTACATCAAATTAATGAAACTTATCTACTCAGTTATGCAGATCAGAATGCTTGAGTCATCCTGAGCACCTTATATCCAGATGCAATCCATCCCAAATCCTGTTAATTTTAGCTTCTTAAAAAATCTCAAATGTATGTACATTTCTCTATTTCCCACCACCACCACCATCATCCTGGCCGAAGCCACCACCACTATTTGCCTAGGCAACCACAGCATCTCCTAGATTGTTTTATCCCTCCACACTTGCCTCCCTTTTTCTAAATGTAACCATGCCATTCTCTACTCAGAATTCCAGTTGTTCTTAGGAAAAGGATTATATTACTGAGTGCTTATCACATGCCAGGAATTATGCGGGAGTCCAGGAAGAGGATAACAACAACAAAAGAAAACTGACAAGTTATTCCCTTTCTGTGGCTCAGAAGGCCCTAACTAATCTGAAGCCTATCATTCCCAAATCACTGTCGGCTCCCAACACTTTGTGGGGGAAGACACACCCAGTCTGCTTTTAGCCTGCCTGGAATTTGTGGGACCGTATAGTGAACATACGCATGAGGTATGCTAGGTTATTAAACTAAAGGAGATTAAAATGAATTATAGACCTTTTTGTCTGAAATACTATCAACATTCAGCAAAGGTGAACAACAACAACAGTAATTAGCTTTGATATGTTGAGTGTCTCCTGTGGACATGATTCTTTACAAAAATGGTAAGTGTGGTTTCCACATATAAAAGGCCTATGTATGGATGTACCAGGTGTTTTTATCATTAGTTCACAATAACCATATGCATTTATTATTTAATTCCTTCTTAATAGCTGAAGAAACTGAAGATTAAAACACAGGTAAATTGTGCCATGTCACATAAGTATTAAGTGGAGTTGGAGGAGCTGGTTTCAAACCTAGAGCTGCACTTACACACACACACACACACACACACACACACACACACACACCCCTCAAGACAAAACCCTATAATCATGCTAGAGTCTTCTGATTGTTCATTTAATTACTATAGTAGCCGTATAGGGCAAATGATAACTTTATTACCTAAAACGTTTAAATAAAAATCTGGAAATTGAGAAAATAAATTATCAGTATATACCGAGTGGCAGATACAGGTTCTGAATACAGGTCAATAATGATTCCAATCCTGTGCTTTTATCATTACAACACACTCTCCCCTACTTAATTCATTTTAAATAAGAATCTTGGCACAACAGGAAAAAAAATGTGCTCCTCAATGAGTTTTGCTTTATTTGTTCCTGTGGGGATATTGTAATACCCAAACAACAAAATCAAACACATATTTCTATCGCCAGCTTGGTGATACTAAGCGCTCTACAGGACCTCTCATTAAACGAGACCAAGAATCCATAATGATGGACTTAATGGCACACAGCATCTGCCCTCAGTACTGGGAGTTGGTAGGGTAAATGCACTTCCCATGATAAATAGCATGCCATGCAGTACTCCAACTGTGCATCAACACTGCATGAAGAAAAATGAACAGAAGAAATAACACCAGTCAGGTATGCATCAACAGTGGAGTCCTGATGTAATCTTTTCATGTATCCTTTTTGGATCTCTAGGACTTAAGATTTTTCTCAGAGAGAGCCAGGAAGAGAGACAGAGAAAGAACACAAAGAGAAATCAAGTGGAAGAGACACATTATAAAAACATTTATGAGATTCATCAGTTTGAGATTTATCTGATATATAGAGTACCTAAACAGAACAGCTGTCTCCCTATTACTTTTCCCACTAATTTTCTTTAAGGTCAGTAAAGAATTTCAGTGAGCCTTTATTTTATCCAAGTGTGCAAATGTTAATAGATGTCTCAAAAGGCATGTGTGTCAGCCACACCAAAAGAAACGAGGCAGAAGATGAGGCTGGAGAAATAGGTAGATGCAGGATCCTACTAGCCTCATAGCCCATGGGACAGGGAAAGCTTGTCTGGTAATAAGTAATGTGAAAAAAGAACATACATTATATTTCAAAATGTCAAAACATATTAAATGGACCAGCTGGGTCACTATATTGTGAAATCCTACTGTATATCTTTTTTGTATAATGAGGATGTTTTTGAAATAGAATTTACTTGAATATATTCTACTTTTAGTTTATAATTCTTAATACATACTTTTATCATTTTTCAAAAGGCACTCTTGTGGTGTTATGCATTTGAAATAAAATGAACCCATTTTTTTTAATGATAGTCACAAAATGCTTTAAGATAAGGTACAAGGTCAGAAATTAAATATCTTCTGCATTTCTCTCAAACTAGTTATAGTGGTTAGAAAAGCAAGTTAACTGTATATGATACTACTTAAGTGAACACAGAGAAGATGTCTTTGAAACATAGATCTCTGAGCAGCAATGAGGCTTTCAACCTGGGATTTCAAAATATCTTATTGACCGTCTTTTTCTTAGAGAAGAATATAGTTTGTTCAAGAAATAGATTGACACAATTATCATAGTCCTATAATGTAGTTCTAAAATATAGAAAACAGAGTATTTGAAATATATAGTGTTCAACAAAAGAGCTTGTCTTCATTAATATAAACTATTTTATCACCATGAATTTAGTATATGTACAACATTTACAAATACAAACATCTAAGATAAAAGTGTGTACATTCTATCAAAGAAGTGGTAACAAAACTTTTACTTAAAGTTTATATGTCCCAAACTCTATCACATTTTCCCTACTAAAGTATTTTGGTTCAGATTTTTAATATTTTATTTACAAGGTTGTTTTCTCTGCATGATGCACACAAATATTTACATATTTGTTATAAAACCTAAGAAAGTCTTCAAGTTAATTGCTATAAAGTATTTTCATTCTTTCTTCTAAACTCCCAACACCATACCACAGAGTTTCTCTCTTTCCCCACCCCTGGGATCATTGAAGAAAAATATGTATAGGAAAGAAATGAAGAAAGAAAAAAAGATAAAAATACATGGTATAAATCAAACTAATGTTTTCCTGGGGAGTTTTATGGTCCATGAGGTTCATTTTCCCTGAAATATTTCATTTCTTTAAAACTTTTCCTCCCATTATAGGTTTTCAAACATCCTTTTATAGCCTAGAAATGTATACCTTTTTGGTAAAGCCAAACCGTATTCGGTCACCAGAGCCTCCCGTCTAAACATATATATGTGCACACCGTGATTTAATACCATATTTGTAGTTGTCATGGGGTTTCAGGCTACGGATATAATCATTTTATCTATATAATAACTAACATATTTCAATATAAACTGAGCATAGCAGAACTTTGTAGTAATACAAAGTCTGAAGAAAATACTCAACATAAACAAAATATGTGGCAACACTAAAACAAACTATAAAAACTTTATAGGTGGTAGTTTGGCAAGACCTACATAACTTGTCTACATGCTACCCAAGTTGAAGAACTGCAAAGCCTGAAGCATTATAAACATAGGCAAACACACACACACACACACACACACACACACACACACACACACCCCTTCTACGTAATTAGGAACTCTGAGCTGTCTTCAACATGTCATTCTGCCTTTCCTTCCATTATAATAACTTCATAATAAGCCAGTTCCCATNTTGTAATAAGGAATGCCTGAAAATAATAGTTAATTCTTTTATAAGAATTTTTGTTAAGACCAACTAGCCTGATAAAAGCTTAGATACCAAAGGATATGATACAGTAATAAAGACATTAAAATGTTATTTGAAATTGTCACTATCTAAGTAAATAGAAATATTTCCCCCCGATAAGTTGTATGATACCATTTTGTAGAATAAAAATAGCTATACAATTTAAACAGAACCTTTTGGTAGCTATCGCAAGCTAAAACTTCACATGGATCTACATGGATGGAAAATTTAATAGCCGAGCAGCTTTCATTCATTATGCAAAATTAGACCTTAAATCAAACCCAAAAGAAGTCATAAAAAAATTACCCATTAGGGAAAAAAATTAAGTACTAAATAGTCAGTAAAGAATAGATTACATAAACGACTTGTGGGTGGCTTCAATTTCATAAAGTGATTGGGCGACACCACAAAACTGAACAAAGTTCAACTTGATGTCAGGTCTTATAGTACTTTCAACCCACTGTTCAAATTGTCTGGGCTTTAACCCGTAGGGGAATAAAAACTGCATCCATAAATCACAGCCTTTTTTATTTAAAAAAATGCATTCTTAAAAATAACAATGTGCTTAATGTTGCGATCCATAAACCACTCTTTCTCTGAAAAATGACTGGGTATTCTGAGTAGTCACTCACTCTGATTTTCACTTGACATTAAAATAAGTGGATTTTGTACTACAATACACTTAAGGAGATTTCAAGTTCTATGCAAAAACTAAGAATTGGAGCACAGTAAATACAGGATTTAGTTGCAACCACAGAATCTGCTGGCATCTGA